ATTTTCTGCTGCTGCTGTCTGAGGGTGAGAAAAAAACAACGTGTTTTGAAGGGGAGCTTTTGGATGATCACAATAAGATTGTAGTGTATTTATAACACAATCAACATAAATTATTAATATTATTTAAAAATTTAGTTTATCGTACTTATAAAAATACATATTTTTATAAAATATAATTATATATAAAAAATGAACCTTTAAAAATAATAAAGAATAAAAACATATCGAATATGTATGCTCCTTTATTAAAAACATATTCTAAAAATTGTTTTCAGAAAAATTAACCAAACAGTGTAAAACATTTTACAATGTACCATCCAAACACTGGAAAATATTTTCTAAAAAATGATTTACATTTCTGTAAAACATTTTCCAGATTTCATTTTTCGGAAACTGTTTTCAGTGAAACAAACAAATATTTATTTTGGTTCTAAGTTCTAACACTAAATTGTTAAACAAATAAGAGAACAAAGAGAGTGAAATAATAAATGGGAGTGAAGAAAACAATCACTGAATCGACCTTGAGAAATAAATAGGAATAAAAAAAGAGAAGATGGTGGAGAGATTAGAATGGAGAAGAGAAGATGATGGAGAGAGTTTTGATGGTGACGGTGAGGAAAGTGAATTGGGTTGTGGACAATGAAAAATATATAAATAATATTAATAAAATGTTAATTGATTACGAAATTAATAAAAATATGTCAAGTCATGAATGTGTTAAAAAGTAAATGATCGAGTGATCAAAAAAGTTTAATTTTAAAATTCAGTAAGTAAATTGAAAAAATTAAAAGTACAATGAGTAAAATAAAAAAGAAAATAAAATTAAGTAAGTAAACATGCAATTTACTCTTTTAAAAATTATCTTTTTCAAGACATTACCTCAGCCATTTTACTAGTTTTATACATGCTAATACGAGGGGAAAATAACTGTATACAATGAATTGTGGTACTTTTAGAAGGTGGACAATACAAAGAGTAAATCAATCTAACGGCCACGAAAGAATTGATCAACTGATCCCTAACTTGGTGAGGGTGAGAAAAAAACAACGTGTTTTGAAGGGGAGCTTTTGGATGATCACAATAAGATTGTAGTGTATTTATAACACAATCAACATAAATTATTAATATTATTTAAAAATTTAGTTTATCGTACTTATAAAAATACAGATTTTTATAAAATATAATTATATATAAAAAATGAACCTTTAAAAATAATAAAGAATAAAAACATATCGAATATGTATGCTCCTTTATTAAAAACATATTCTAAAAATTGTTTTCAGAAAAATTAACCAAACAGTGTAAAACATTTTACAATGTACCATCCAAACACTGGAAAATATTTTCTAAAAAATGATTTACATTTCTGTAAAACATTTTCCAGATTTCATTTTTCGGAAACTGTTTTCAGTGAAACAAACAAATATTTATTTTGGTTCTAAGTTCTAACACTAAATTGTTAAACAAATAAGAGAACAAAGAGAGTGAAATAATAAATGGGAGTGAAGAAAACAATCACTGAATCGACCTTGAGAAATAAATAGGAATAAAAAAAGAGAAGATGGTGGAGAGATTAGAATGGAGAAGAGAAGATGATGGAGAGAGTTTTGATGGTGACGGTGAGGAAAGTGAATTGGGTTGTGGACAATGAAAAATATATAAATAATATTAATAAAATGTTAATTGATTACGAAATTAATAAAAATATGTCAAGTCATGAATGTGTTAAAAAGTAAATGATCGAGTGATCAAAAAAGTTTAATTTTAAAATTCAGTAAGTAAATTGAAAAAATTAAAAGTACAATGAGTAAAATAAAAAAGAAAATAAAATTAAGTAAACATGCAATTTACTCTTTTAAAAATTATCTTTTTCAAGACATTACCTCAGCCATTTTACTAGTTTTATACATGCTAATACGAGGGGAAAATAACTGTATACAATGAATTGTGGTACTTTTAGAAGGTGGACAATACAAAGAGTAAATCAATCTAACGGCCACGAAAGAATTGATCAACTGATCCCTAACTTGGTGGATAACTATCTTCTTCCACCTCTACCTCTAGGGTTTCAAGTTCATCCCAATACCCAAAACAAAAACCCTTCCATTTCCCCCATTTCGTTTATCCAATCTTAATTTTTACTTTCCCCGCAATCCCACTATTCCAGTTCAATTACCCAATCCAACTAGCACCAAAGCTCACTGCTTTATTAAGTATTTTTATGTAAGTACCATTTCTCTATATGTCTCTGTTTATATCTTAAATCTAATCTTTGGGTTCTCCTATCCTGTAACTCAAGTTATAGTTTCGAACATTTCTACTTTGTAGTTTATTGAATAAGAATAAGAATATAATTCGATAGAGAGACACTTAACAGACATAGATATTATTTATCCTTACATGGGGAAATCAGGTGGTAGAAAAAAGAAGGGTGGTTCGAACCAGGTTTCTGTTGATAACCATTCTAGTAACACTAGTGCACATGCTAATGGTGGTGGTGATTTAGACTCTTCTATATTTTTAAAGAGAGCCCATGAGGTAAAAGAAGAAGGCAATAAGAAGTTTCAGATTAAGGATTATGTGGCTGCTCTTCAATACTATGATGATGGTCTTAAACTTATCCCCAAAAACCACCCTGACCGGGCTGTCTTTCACAGTAACAGAGTTGCTTGCTTGATGCAAATGAAACCCATTGATTATGATACTGTTATTGCTGAATGTACCATGGCGCTTCAGGTTCAGCCTTGCTTTGTCCGAGCTCTTCTTAGGAGGGCGAGAGCTTTCGAGGCTATCGGGAAGTATGAAATGGCGATGCAAGATATGCAGTTTTTGTTGGGGGCTGACCCCAATCACAAGGATGCTTTGGAGATTGCAAGGAGACTGAGGACTACATTGGGTCCTCGCCAAGAGGCTCAGCAAGACCTCCGGAGCCGTCCCTCCCCGGCTGCACTTGGGGCTTCTGCTGTTCGTGGTGCCCCAATTGCTGGGCTTGGGCCTTGCTTACCTGCTCGCCCGGTGCCTAAGAAAGCATCATCGCCTCCAGGAGGATCAGTTGGATCACCAAATAATAAGCTGGAGAAGATCCAAAGGAATGCAGCTGAAAATGGTACTGAGAAAAAAGCCCAGTTTCCAAGACTTGCGCTGAAGCCCTCGAGTGGTTCTTCGAAAGCAACTGATAATCTGAATAAGGGTGGCCCGAGAGAACAGTTGGTTTCATCTTCTGTTCATGGGCAGGTTCAGCAGGCAGCAATTCAGTGGCGGCCTTTGAAACTTGTTTATGATCATGACATAAGGCTTTCCCAAATGCCAGTTAATTGTAGCTTCAAAGTGTTGAGGGAGGTTGTGAGCAAGCGTTTTCCTTCATCCAAGTCAGTGTTGATCAAATATAAGGATAGTGATGGAGATTTAGTTACTATTACCTGCACGACAGAACTCAGGTTGGCGGAGTCTTCTGTAGATGCTCATATTTCGTCGGAACCAGAAGCAGATAAAACTGGTGGATTTGGTATGTTGAGATTGCACATTGTTGAGGTGAGTCCAGAACAGGAGCCACCATTACCAGAAGAGGATGAGGAGAAGCCTTTGGTGAGTGAAGGGGCCAAGGCTGATGAAATCGGGTCTCACTTGTCTCATGGTGATTGTGTGTCAGAAGGTGTTGATACTGAGATTGAAACGATAGAGAAAGAAGCTTCAAAGGAAAAAGTAGGGGCTTCAGAAGATCCGGAGTGCAAGGAAGTGGAAATGGATGATTGGCTTTTTGAGTTTGCTCAGCTTTTCCGCACCCATGTAGGTATTGATCCTGATGCTCATATCGACTTGCATGAGCTTGGAATGGAGCTCTGTTCGGAGGCTCTAGAGGAGACAGTTACTAGTGAAGAAGCTCAAAACCTTTTTGACAAAGCTGCTGCCAAATTCCAAGAGGTGGTTGCGTTAGCCTTCTTTAATTGGGGAAATGTTCATATGTGTGCCGCAAGGAAACGTATCCCCCTAGACGAGTCCACTGGGAAGGAGGTAGTGTCGGCACAACTTCAAGTTGCTTATGACTGGGTTAGGGAAAAGTATTCTTTGGCCAGGGAGAAGTATGCCGAAGCACTCTTAATCAAGCCGGACTTTTATGAAGGGCTTCTGGCACTGGGACAGCAGCAATTTGAAATGGCCAAACTTAACTGGTCTTTTGCACTTGCAAAGAAAATAGATCTCTCAAACTGGGATCCTGCTGAGACATTTCAACTTTTCGACAGTGCTGAAGAGAAGATGAAAGCAACTACAGAAATGTGGGAGAAGTTGGAGGAGCATAGAGCAAATGAGTTGAAAGATTCCAATTTGATCAAGAAGGATGATTTGTTGAAGATGAGGAAGAAACCTGGAACTGTTGTAGAAGGTGAGCTTTCACCTGAGGAGGCAGCTGAACAAGCAGCTGTGATGAGATCGCAGATACATCTTTTCTGGGGCAACATGCTCTTTGAACGATCCCAAGTTGAATGCAAATTAGGAATGGATGGTTGGAAAAGAAATCTAGATACCGCCGTTGAGCGCTTCAAGCTGGCTGGAGCTTCTGAAGCAGACATTTCTACAATCTTGAAGAACCATTGCTCAAATGGAGATTCCGTCGAAGGAGACGAAAAGAAAGGTGTGGGTGAAGCCGAGAGCAGTGAGGTCAGTCAAACATCTGAAGACTGATATCTTCCATCTCTCTGATGCTTGGTTAATGGGAGCGCGTTTGAGATTTTCCCTTTCAAATGGGATATTTGAGTCCAATATTGGTGAGTGGTGTACCTGAAAGATTTTGGGTTTTAAAGGCTTCTGTTTTAACCTTTAAAGTAACCCTTTTTTGGGTTATAAATAAAACACTATTTGGATACTATTGAGGTTTTCACCTATGCAACTATATGTCACGAGTTCATGAATTTGACATGAATGAAATACAAGGCTCCAAACATTACTTAAATTTTGATTACACGGATAAGCATGTTCTTGCCAAATGAAACCCAATACTTTACATGTGTGCACATCAATTCCATATATGTATATGTTCATGGACACATGACTTCCATATGAACAAAAGAATCATCTTTACAAATATGATCCTGCTCGCTATAATCGTTGTTGATGCTATGAGTACTGCCGACTTGAACATGCTTAACTTTGTTGTTTACCATTGGTGGAATCTTGGAATCCTTTCCAGGTATTTAGAACTTCGTTGAATATATCAACTATCAGCTCCCTTTCTGCAAATTGCATGAAAGTACTAAAATCGTCTCGAATATCATATATCTTGCCAAATTTCACAAGATATTGCAGGCAACTGGATCTAAGTTTTGGAAGTTGGAATAAAACTGCATTTTGGAGTCTCTCGAGGACATTCTTTGTATCGATATCTTCTAGCAGACTCTCGTGGCATGCCTCTTTCAAGTCCGAGATATCGTACTTATCAGCTGCCCGGAGAAGTGCCAGCCGGTGGGGCAGAAACTCTTCATGTTTGACGTTTCCATAAATGAAACATAGGAAAGCCCGACAAGCTTCAATCGACATGTCGGATATGTTTATGGTTGAGAGTTCTTTTTCTTGCAGGTTATGCGAAAACATGCTGTGGAAAACAGGCGATCGCGCGGAAAGAACAGCACGATGGGCTCCAATGCTCCCATCCGAAGCATTAATAACGATGTCCATGTGGATGCCTTGTGTTAACGTCCGACCGAGACATGCAAGAACTACTGAATTTGATTGATTTTGTGTAAACCCTTCAGTCCAAATGGAGCAAGGTTCCCCACCCTGTGAATCAACACCAAACTTTCAACTGCTAATTCTTAGTAATATCCTTTGCATGATCGACTCTTACTTTCGAAGATGCAGTCTTGAGATCAAGAAATTCGACGTCGATAATGTATTTCCCAGTCAAAGGAGCCTCAACCGGCCAGATGAAATCGTCGTTGTTCTTCAACTGCTTGTCTGTTATTTCTACAATCAGAAACGACAGAATTGGAAAACAAAAATAAGCATGAAAGACTATGAATCATCTAAATTTATACACTTATCAAAATATTACCTGGATGAGTGAAAGATTTTCGATCTCCAGATGAGCAGACAACCTGGATTATGAAGGATGCAATGGGGGGATTATCTCTCGTTAGATTTGAGAATTCTGGGTATAGTTTAACATACAGCACTCTGTTCTTCTCCACCGTCAAATGCCTTAAATCCACCAAAAAAAAGTATAAGAACATGGTTCCAATAAAAAAACACACACACACACTCCAGGAATCTCAGAAGAACAGTAACAACTAAAAGGTCTTTTATCCGAATTAGTTTTGGTTATGAATCTTCGTAATGGGAAATAAAGAATGTGACTTGACGGACCAGTTCCAGTAGCCGATCTTGAAAGCATCGGACTGGCGGTAAGTGCAGGAGGGAAGATCATCAATCCTCCACTGAGCGAGACGAGCAATGGTTTCAACTCGGTAAGCAGAGTGAGCCATCCTAGGCAAACCCAGAGACGTGATCTCATGGATGCAATCCAAGAAATGGTCTCCTGTCTTTCTTGTACCTGAAAAACACGTCTCTTTTCTGTCCGGTCTGCAAATATGACAGACAAGAGAGAAGTAGTGTAGTGTGGTTCAAGTATGATAATTTATTTAGATGCTTCAAAGGTTGAAGAAAGATCGTACTGGCTCAGGGAGAGAGAAAAGAAGATCTGGTGAAACATTAATTGCATTTTGAGAATATCTATCCAAGGTGGAGAGACAGGAGGTAAACGTGGGGATTATTTATCGGTGAACTGGACGTGGATAGAGCTAGGTGGAAAATGTTTTAGTATTATTTTATTATTTAAATTTTTTTTAAAAGTTTTAAAATTGAGTTGAATTTATAAAATTAAATTAAGATAGAATTAAATTAAACATATTTCTTTTTGAACTTTTGTTTAAATTTAAAAAATAAATTATTTATAGTGTTATAATAGTAATTTGTTCTGATTTAAATAATTTTTTCATATTATATATATATAAAAGTAAGATTTATAATATTATTTAATAAATTAAATATCATCTAAAATTATATAATATATGTATAATATTTTTAAAAAAATATATGGATAAAGTACACAAATGGTCTTTGACTATAAGATATTGTTTTATTGAGGCTCTTAACTATTAAAAATTAAAATATGATCCCCGATAATAGGGAGTTGTTTTGTTGAGTCCCTTGACTATTAAAAGTTACAAAATGATCCATCGACTATTTATTATGTTCCAAACTCATTTTTTCGGTTAAAAAATTAACGATCGTCTGAGCTGGACATTAACATGTTGATTAAGATATGATAGTCGTTTGAAATTATGAGATTAAATTTTATCATATCTCATTCTGTAGGTTAATGTACAACTCAAATTGTCATCAAATTTTTAATAAGAAAAGACGAGTTTGGAACATAATGAATAGTCAGGTGATAATTTTGTAACTTTTAATGGTCAGTGGACTCAACAAAACAACTTCCTATAGTCAGAGGACCATTTTATAACTTTTAATAGTCAGAGGACCATTTATGTGATTTAACGAAAAGATATTTTAAGAATAAAGTATTGACGAGAATATGAAAGAGTAAAGGAACTACTAGGAAGATAATTTTTAAAGAGTTTTAGTTATATGATTAAATTGAATAAAATATAAAATTGAAAAACTAAATTAAAAAAAATAGGAATTGTGTTGTTAAATAGGAAGAATTGAAGTTATATAGTATTTTTCGATGAAAGAGACAGGGTAGTTTAAATTTAATTAAAAATATACTTAAAAAGAACATAAATTGAAGAAACAAGGAAACCATACAAAACTTGAGATATTAACGAGAAAAAAATTTCATCCAAAAGAAGAATTAAAGCCACACAAGTATTCTACAGTGATTGAGGAGCATACGATATAAATTTGGTTAAAACTGAACTTAAACGGAAGGGAGAATTAAAAAAATAACGAGTCAAACCATAAAACAATCAAACTATTTAGCTAGAGATCAAAACAATATTATTTTAATTTTAGTTTTCTTGGCTATTTAAACTTTATAAATTCAAACTCAAATCGAACTTAAAATTTGATCTAAGAATCTAAGAATTTAAGTTGACTCAAACCACTCGAATAACTTAAAATTTTAAAAAAATTAATCAAGTCGGATTATTTTGTACTTGTGCATTCTTTTCATGTTAGTTTTAGGACATTGTGCTAAGTTTTAAACATGTGTTCTCTCTTTAGGAGTATGTCTCTCCCAATTACATTAGGAGCCAAGTTAAATAGTGATAAGTTCAAATTCATCCTAACTTCAAAAATATCAATTTGAGTTTAACTTGAGATATAATATGTTTTGAATTTGATTAATTTCAAATATCATTTTTCATTTAAATTTAATTACTCGAGTTCGATTAAATTTGAAGTCAAACTGAAACCTAAATTAAAATAAGAGACTTTTGTATATAAAATAAAGTTTAGACCTAGAATTCAATGAGGTGAAATTCTTGTTATAAGATAAAAATTCGTTGAATTAGTAATAATTGAAAATTTGTTGTTTAAATTATGATGGGGCATTTTTAAGTAATGTTGCATGTTGACTCAAGTCAATTGTAGAATAATCGGGTAAATAAAACAGAAAGAACACAAGAATTTTAACGAGATTCAGCAATGTGCTTACGTCCTCGGTGCCTTAGGCGGCGCTAGAATTTTATTCAATTCAATGTCTCATAGGTTTAGGTTACATCTCCTTTTATAATAAATAAACTCTGGTACATATTTAAAAAAATAACCATGTACCGTACCGCGGGGCGCAGCCCCTACACCCCCAACCAACATAATCATAAACCCCACTACGAAACTTTCTTTGTAAGGACAGATGACGTTCGCTTCGCTCACTCCACCCCATCCTCTGTCATCTTTACCGGTATATTTATGAACCATACCTAACAATTTAAATAAAATAAGTCGGGTTAAATTATAATAAATTGAAAACATGGTGTATCATATTTCAAATTAATACCACTCTATTTAATTTAATTGAACTCGGAATTAACAAAAAAAAAATCTGTTTTATTTTAAAAATTAATTACATTTTTCTTATTTGAAAAGTATAGGACTAAAATGAATTCTGTGGATTAAGCATAGGACTAAATATTTGGATCTTTGATACAATTCAAATCTAATGCTTTGGCACGTGAAAGTTTGTTATAACCTCTTATAGTATTCAAATCTAATGCTTTGGCATGTGAAAGTTTGTTATAACCTCTTATAGTATTCTAATCTAATACTTTGACATGTGCTAATTAAATCCTCTGATACAATTATAATTGAATGCTTTTCCATGTGAAAGTTCTATTCTAATCCAATGCTTGGCCAAGTGAAAATTAGTTGTATCCTCCTATCCTATTCCAATCCAATGCTTTGGCATATGAAAATTAGATCCTCTTGTGCACTCAATTCATTTATGGGGGCCATTCATAGATTAGATTTTCTTGGGTCCTAATTGTGTCACAAAATAAATAAGGGTAAAAACATTCAAATGGTCCTCCAATTATAGGTTGTTACTTTGTTGAGTTCATTGACTATCAAAAGTTACAAAATAGTCATTCGACTATAGGATATTACTTTGTTGAGTCCCCCGACTATTAAAAGTTACAAAATGGTCACTTGACTATTCATTATATTCCAAATTTGTCATTTTCTGTTAAAAATTTGATGGCAGTTTGAGTTGGATGTTAATATGTTGTCTAAGATATGATAGACTTTGATCCTAGAATTTCAAATGACTGCCATATCTCATTCCTCATATTAACATCCGTCTCAAAATTTCATTAATTTTTTAACGGAAAATTTGATGTTAACTTGTTGTCTAAGATATGATAAAATCTTATCCCAAAATTTCAAATGACTATCATATCTCATACCTCATATTAACATACATCTCAAAATATCATTAATTTTTTTAACGGAAAATGATTCATTTGAAACATAATGAATAGTAGGGTGGTCATTTTTTAACTTTTAATAGTCAAAGGATTCAACAAAGCAACATCTTATAGTCAGTGGACTATTTTGTAACGTTTAATAGTTAGAAGACTCAATAAAATAATATCATATAATCCAGGAGCCATTTATGTGCTTTACCAAATAAATAATAACAATAATAATAAAATTGCACTATCATTTCCACAATAAATATAAATGGCATTATCAATTTAGATCTATTATTATAGATGGAGTCAAGATTACAGTTACATCCTCTAAAAATTTTAGATTCATATATAGTTTAGGAGTTTTAAAAAAATCAGTGATAATTTTAATTTTGTATCTCTTAAATTTTAGAATTTTGCACCTCTTAAGTTACTAATATAATTCTCTAAAACTTTATATCATTGACATAAAATCATACGTTCATCCCTGAATATTATAATATTAAAAAACAAATTATGTGTGTGTGTGTGTTTGGACTTAATTGAATTTTTTCAAATGATTCAAAAATAATTTAAAGTCTACGAAACTTAAAAAATGTTTTCCAAGTATTTTTTACTTGATCTACATTTTAGAGTATGTTTAGAAACTCAAAATAAGTCAAAATATTCAATTTTTGGTGTAAGGTTTCGAAACCTTTGAGGTAGAATGTTCAAAGTTTCAAAAATTTCAACTTGGTTTCAAAACCTCATTTCCTGGTTTCGAAATCCATTGTACTTGGTTTCGAACTCCCTTGACTGGTTTTTAAACCCCTGTATGGTTTCAGAACCCCATGTTCCAACAGTCACATTTTTTCAAGAGGGTTTCAAAAGCCACCATGCAGAAATGCTAAAATTGAGGGGATTAAAGGCTTCAACGGCTCCAAAACATCCCCAACAGTTAGAAACGGTGACAAACTCATTCCATCATATAAAAACAACCCAAGGACAATTAAAAAAAGGTAATTACACCTATCCAAGTTTAGAGATCAAGAGAAAAGAGTTCATTCTTATATCCTTCATTTTTCTTTTGTATATAAGTGTATAGAGCTTAATTGCATATCTTTTGTTCTTATTCTTGTGAGTTTAATCCTTTTAGACACCTACATAGAGAGGTCTTCTTGTTTACACAAGTTATTATTTGTTGAAAAGGGGAGTGGTTCTAGTTTAATCTTGAAAATCTAGAGAATTGTAAATGTTACTCTTAAGCCTAGAAAAAGAAATAACAAATTAGTGAATTTATTAGAAAATCCTTAGTGTGGAGCTAAGGTAGTGGATGTAAACTTTGGTTGAGAAATTCGAACCACTATATATCTTGTGTCTAACTCTTATCTTTTATTGCTTCCACACCAAAGATTTTTAAAGGCCAATTCACCTCCCTCTTGGCGATTTTCGGTTGATCATTTCGAGCCTAACATTAACTATAGATATATAAACTTAATATATGATCATTTTCGTTCATATTTAATTATGACATGATGGCTTTCGTTTTTATTTAACTAAGATGTTGTCATTACGAGTTAATTGTCGTTAACAGTTAACATATAAGGTGA